CGTTTGCTGCTGTAAGCATGTCATGGCGTTCAACATCCGGCTGTTGGGAAAATTGTTTGCGCATCTTAAGAAGCGCACTGAAAAACTTATAATTTAAAAACTGAAATGGTAATCCCTATATATATGCTTCAATTGACTTACGCCTGCACGTCATGCCACTTCACAATTGTGTGGTTTACTCGTGACGATTGCGCTCGCAAATCCGCATTGCCTCCGTTGATTACAACATCACGGGCCTCAGACTCCTTCAATGACGCCCCCAGTGTATTCAAGGCACATCCATATACACAAAAACCCCCATACTGCCTCGATTACTGAACGCATAGTCAGCAGCAGACTGACATGCTGAATATGTCGTTGAGATCGAACTTCTCGTCTGTCTTTTTAATTATTATTCTTGGTTTTCTGTATTTTTCTGTTTATCCATGATTACAGGGAGTATGATAATAGGGCAGTGTGACATCAATATAAACAACGGGCAAATTTTCGTCATTACTAAGCCTTATACCTACGATTTAACCTACGCGTAACTCATCCAACTTGAGCCTCAAATCGGACACAGTACATATCGCCCTATCATCGTTGCGAAATCGTTTCCTCGTAGACACCCGCAATCGGAGATACAGCCTAAAAATCGACACGATTCTCCATTTTTGGCCATTCAAGTCCATCGCCATTGCGCGGCGCTTAATCTCAACATAAAGCGAGCTACCTAAACGCGCTATTGCTAACTCAGCGAGGCATGTGGCCTCGCCGGGAGAATTATGCATCAACACTCGGCCGAGATAACCTTTGACCCGGTACACAGCTACACAGGCACCTCTTGCTACATGCGCTGCATGCCCTTCACGGCACGCTACGCCAACCGCATGATTAGCTCGTCGCAGTGTTGCGTCGGATGTCAAAATCTCCCGCGAACCCACAACGCCACATTCCGCATTCCTGACGGAGAAGCAAACGACATGGCTTTTACACAGCGACTGCGCGGCAGTGTGCTGCCCTTTTGTTCTGATATGAGCGTACATTTGAAAACACATAGGCATATAGGGGCGCGCTGATAAAGCAACTCCGGATCCTGCACAACAACTGCTGCGCGGTGCTTTACAAGTGAAAATCTGTACTGTACGTAGCCTGTGTTCTGTTTCAACTCCGGTGTTGTTTTTACCTGCGGCGACAATGCCAACCTGATATATTGTGTACTACATTGTGCGGAAGAGGAATGAGGACATGCTTTCCCTGTACGTTTTAAGCAGCGGAACGTTCCTGGTATTAGCGCTGCTTGAGACAATGTAGAAAATAACTACCTCTTGAAACCCTTCCAAGTACGCGCGTGTTCATGTCGAGATCATTTACTACGTATTGAGACAACTAGACTCGCGTATGGTATGTTTTTTCTTTTAATTATTAGCAGATTCAGTAATCAGTGCCCTAATGTATCTTCCGTTGTATAAGTATATTTCAAATCAACAGCTAGATGGCTATATGCGATAACTAAGCTTGACCAGGGCCGAGATTAATAATCAATACACATTTTAATATATTAGTTATTACCATTCTTTGAAGCGGCAATGAATGGCAGCCTAATCTGAAACAAATACTTACTTTATTAGTCTTTGCATTGTATGCCAGTATGTTATTCATGCTTGGCTGTGGTTAACGCATTCCTAATATTGACAATATGTATGATCATGCACTCATTAGTCGCGTTAGGCTAGGGCCTTTTGAGCTTGATAGGAGTAATATATAAATAGTACTGGACAGTCTTACTATACAGTAGCCTGAGCAGGTATTACATGCTGTATATGCGCTGAAATATATATATAGTATATATTCTCTCTCTATATTATATAATTTCTGCTATTTGGGCGCTTATTATTATTTTTTTCCAGGAACTTGCATTCACTTTTGAAGAAGCTTGAATATGCACAGCTGTCCCTCACGTTTTTCCTTGGAACAATCTGTGCTCACCCAATCTCTGGAGTGCGGACGTGAAGAGTGAGCCAAACGGCAAATGCGTAACTCAGAAGGCAGCTCAAGTTCGGGTATTGACATGCAGCTGGTCTTAAATGCCTTCATTGACGAAATTATGTGGCGACGTATGAAGTTGTCTGAAAGTACAGTAAAACCTTGTCTATACTGCCTTCCGTCCGTAATATCGCAATTCCACTTATCGCCAGGGCAAATGCCAGTATACATATCATTTGCTATCTATTTGCTACGTTATTTAGCTTCGTAATAACGCCCTCCTCGTTTAACGCCAACGCCAGCATTCATGGCTATGTACAATATTATAATACAAATGCCAGTTGAAAATACACTCGTATACTGCCATGGTGTATGGTACGGTATCGGATTGATCAGTTTTCTATTGGTAACAATACACACATCCACTCGTCAGTCCTATGTAATAGCAGTAGTAGTAGCGGTATCAGCTACTAGCGGCTTAGGGCAACTGTGTCAAGTCAGTCACTGTTGCCCACGAATTCAGACTAAGCGAATTCCCAGTGAATTCCCATAATGTAATTCCCTGTTTTGTATTTAATGGCCAATAGGGGGAGCGTGCCGCTGCAAATTTGAACTGACACCTGCGGTGAAAGGACGGGCCGTCCGGGGGCACCACTAGTCCAGTCCCCACTGAGGTCCCAGTCAAAACAAAGTTGCCCATTTTTGTCAAGGTGGGACCGACTTAGAAGCAACCTTCTATTTTATGGGCCCCATTTGCCCAGCCTAAAACCCATATGGGGCACAAGTATTTTGCTAGCTGGGTTGTGAATCAAAGAGCTATAACCAAAGATGAATAAACGAAAGAAATATGCCGACACCCTATGTTACAGCATTGTGTCTATCAGCGTGCATTCGTCGAGCCGACCGCTATATACTCTCGTAAACTTGAAGGCTAATATTTACGAGGTTAGATGATTATTTGTAGTGGGCGCTGCTATTGTTGGGTGTGTGTGTGCGCGCGCGCGTGCGTGCGTGCGTGCGTGCGTGCGTGTGTGTGTGTGTGTGAACAGTGCAATCCTATTGGCTGGAACGTCAGTTTACCTGCAAATTTTCATACGCGTACGTCGTTTCTCCGCGGGTGAAGTAGTTCAAATATCTTACAAGCGTTTACTGAAACAACTTGTGTCGTCAACAAGTGTTGTCAAAAAGTTATTCTAACTAGAGTTTATCATTATAAACACGTTAGTGATGACGGTTTTTAGACCCAGCTTGGGTGCAACGAAAATTTGCGATTTTCGAGTTCAGACTATACGGCCTATACTAAAAAGATAATTGTCGTAGTCAGAATCTGTCAGAATGAAGGTTGTATACATGTAGTCAAAAGTGCCTCAAATACCATCTCATGTGATCAACATTTTCAAAATTTTCTGAGGGAGGATACACCCCGCCTGTTTTTCACCCTACCCCCCTCCTTGGAATCCTGAACAGTTAATTGTAACTGCCACTGAACAGTTACATATCTTGGATGCAGAGAACAAAAAAAAAAAATGTTGCCTTTTTGCATGGCGCCCAAAACAAAGATTCCAGAGCTAAGAGGTGGGGGAGCGGAGGGTGTGGAGAGGGAGGCGGAGGAACCATTAAAATATTAAGTTATCCACTATTTTGCGCAGTTCGCTGTTTTTGCCCCCCTCCCCTGTTAAAAAAATTCTGGCTACGCCACTGCTCACACTGCCGACAGCAGTCACCGCCAGCGTGATGGTTGTACTAGTTGCATTTATACAGTCATTCTATTTGATACAATCAACAACAACAGCTGTTATACAATCAGAAAAACGCGATATTGAGAGTTAGTTTACATCTACACTTAGATTACTTTAGTTTTAGCGCCATTCTGGGAGGTAGGTATAGTCACTTGTTTGATTCGCATTTAAAAGCATTGTGGGGTGCGTGTATCCTTAGCTTGGAGATACATCGATGTAGGGCCTACCCGTACGTAGCCACTTCCAACAGGGGCAACAAAGAATGAGAGAGCGAGAGAGAGCGAGAGAGAGAGAGAAAGAACGAAAGAGAGATAGAGCTACATAGCGGTGAGATGACGGTACACCCGGCATAGACTCCATGCGTTGTTCTTTTATTTAAAAAGTGCATAGACAAACCGCGGCTGCTACACCATGCAATATATATGTGCCGTGTCAATGTTTAATGATCGCATATACCCCCAAGAGCGCAGCGTAAGGCGCGGTAGTACGTACATAGTCATCTAGGTACTCGATTCCCAGGCTACCGGAGGCATACCTCTGCTGCTAGCGCTACCACTGCCTCCGCTACTGCTGCCGCGCTGCTGCTGCCGCCGTCACCGTTGCTGCTGTTCTTTGTGATGGTGGTGGTGCTTGTGTAGCTACGCTGTGGTGCAGAATCGATATGGGCGAATGCTGCGTACACGCAGCTAAGAGTGCGCGCGTCGTGAGTGTAATCGGAAAGCATAACATGGCTACACGACGTGGTGTTTACATGTGATAGATACACAGCCGTTCGCAGGAGCTGCATTGCTACGACGTGGTATGACAACCTATACCGTGGACTATGCGATAGGGTCACGCCACAGCGATGGAAAGGTACTGATCGGTACACCACAAACCGTTGCAGAACGAGCGGGTGCGCGCGAGAGAGAACTATATCGATAGCGAGAGTGGCTAGAGGAAGAAGCAGATAATAAGAAAGGATTGAAACGGAGAGTGAGGGAGAAAAGAGAGAAAGAGAGAGAGAGAGAGAGAGAGAGAGAGAGAGAGAGAGAAAGAGTGGTAGAGGTAGAGAGAACAGCAAATAGCGAGAGAGGATAGAAAGAAAGGGCAAGAGAACGAGAGGAGAGAGAAAGAGAGAGAGAGAGAGAGAGAGAGAGAGAGAGAGAGGGGGGAGAGCGAACTCGAGCCAAATGGCTTGACCCAGCTTGCCAGCGTCACATACCATCGCCATCGGCGTCATCATCGTAGCCATCCCCCCTGCGTTAGCCTTCATCGCCATGGCGACCAACTCGCTGTCGATCAACGGCACGAGTCCACACCACCAGGCGTGTGTGCCTCTTGCCTACTCGCAGCCGGCGACCAAGTCGTCGCTGAAGTTACGGGTCGAGTACGACGCGTCATTTCGCGGTAAGAAGTTGAAGATCAAAGGCAAAGAACTCGAGCACGTGCCGCGCGAACTCTTCTTGATGGACGAACTCGAGATTCTGGACCTGAGTCCCGAGCGGCCCGCCTGCCTGTTCTTTCGTCTGCCGAAACTTTCGCCGGCCATCGGTCGTCTGCACAACCTACGCGTGCTCATCCTCGACACGAACGAGCTGCAGACGATACCGGCGCAGATCAGCCATCTTAAAAATCTCGAGCAGCTGTTGCTTAGCAACAACTTCTTGGCGCGGCTGCCGGACGGCTTTGGCGCACTCGCGAATCTGACGAGTTTGCACCTCGCCAACAATCGCTTTGCCGAATTTCCTGGCGAGATTACATCGCTCACGAAGCTCACCTTCCTCGACCTGTCGTCGAACCGTCTGCGACGCGTCGCCGACGATGTCGGCCGGCTGCGCCGGCTTGAAACGCTGTTGCTGCTCTACAACGAGCTCACGGAGCTGCCAGAGAGCATCGGCAAGCTGCGTCGGCTGCGCACACTCTGGCTCGGCTGCAACAAGCTGCAGAAGCTCCCGCGCAGCTACGCCGACCTGCGAGGGCTCTCCTGCTGTGCCGCTGGATACGTGACGGCCATGATGGATGGCAACCCACTCCCCCTTGGTCCTCCCCCGCGCGTCTACCGAGCCGGCTTCGACGCCGTGCGCGAATGGATGCAGCGGGGCGGGGAGGATGCGGAGCAGACGGAGGAGGCGGGAGACTTGGATGCCGGAACGGACGAACCGACAGATGCGACAGATGACCCGGACGCGGTGGGTGATCCGGATGGGTGCGGTGACCTCGATGGCAATGACGCGAGTGATGTGGAGGACAGGGGAGAAATGTTGAGAAGCGATACACATGAGTCGTAACCATTGTGCGGAAGCCCGGTGCCGCCGGGATGCTCTGCTGTAAGAACACAGTCTGATGTTCTCTTGTAAGAATACGGTCTGATGTGCTCGTGTAAGAATACGGTCTGATGTTCTCTTGTAAGAATACGGTCTGATGTGCTCGTGTAAGAATACGGTCTGATGTTCTCTTGTAAGAATACGGTCTGATGTTCTCTTGTAAGTATACGGTCTGATGTTCTCTTGTAAGTGTACGTTCTGGTGTTACCTTGTAGGACAACGGGTTGGATTTACCGTAAACACGCCTGATACAAGCTTAGTACCACACGCTAACCTGGTACAAGCCTGGTTCAACACGTTAGCCTGCTACACCGTGCATTGCCAACCTGGTTCACGCCTGCTAAAACACGCTAGTCTGCCACAAGCCTGCTACAACATTCTAGTCCGATACAAGCCTTAAACATCATGCTAGCCTGCTACAACAGGCTAGCCTGCAAAGCTTGGTACCACGTACATTCTAACCTGCTACAACACGCTAACCTGTTAAAAGCCTGCTGCAACACGCTAGCCTGGTACAAGCCTGGTACAACACATTAGCCTGTAGCTCTAGTACTATAGCCCGCGTACAGTTGCCGCAGGCTTGTTGCCGTAGCCTGCGGCAACTGTAGGCGGGCTATAGTACTAGAGCTAGCTAGCCTGGTACAAGCCAGGTACAACACGCTAGCCTGGTACAAGCCTGGTACAGCACGCTAGCCTGTTACAAGCCCGGTACAACACGCTAGCATGCTACAACATTCTAGCCTGCTACAACATGCTAGCCTGGTAAAGCTTGGTACAGCACGCCAGCCTGTTACAAGCCCGGTACAACACGCTAGCATGGTACAAGCCAGGTACAACACGCTAGCCTGGTACAAGCCAGGTACAACACGCTAGCCTGGTACAACATTCATTTATAGCCTGCTTCTTACAAACATTCTAGCCTGGCCTACAACATTCTAGCCTGCTACAACAGCACCTGCTTACAGAAGAGCCTGATACAATACGCTAGCCTGTAAAACACATTAACGTATAGCTCAGTACAACAGGCTCAGCTGCCTACAACACTGTTAGCTTGAATCAACGTCATGCTAACTGGTTAAAACAACCCTAGGCGCTGGTACAACCGCCTAACTTGGTGCAACAAACGAGCTAGTCTGTTACAACACATGCATCTCTAATCGCAACACTCTAACACACTAGTACTCCATGTTAATTACATCAATCCTATGCAACAACTTAACCTAGTACTCCTCATGTTAACCTGGTACAACCACACGCCAGCTGGCTACAACAGATGCTACCTGTTACAATTACGCGGCCTGTACAGCAACATGTTAGGCCTGTACAACCACGCTGGCCTGGCATGGTACAACAGCATGCTAGCCTGTTACAACACGCTGGCCTGGTACAACAGCGTGCTAGCCTGCTACAGCACGCTGACCTGGTACAACAGCATGCTAGCCTGTTACAGCACGCTGACCTGGCACAACAACATGTAGCTAGCTGTTACAACACGCTGGCCTGGTCCGACAACATGTTAGCCTGTTACAACACCGGCTGGTAACAAACAACCATATTTAGCCGTACAACACCGCTGACCTGGCTAACAACAATATGTAGCCTGTTACAGCACGGTGGTCTGGTACAACAACATGCTAGCCTGTTACAGCACGCTGACCTGGTACAACAACATGTAGCTAGCTGTTACAGCACGGTGGCTGGTACAACAACATGTTAGCCTGTTACAACACGCTGGCCTGGTACAACAACATGTTAGCCTGTTACAACACGCTGGTCTGGTACAACAACATGCTAGTTTGTGACAGCACGCTGACCTGGTGCAACAACATGCTAGCCTGTTGCAACACGCTAGCCTGGTACAACAACATGCTACACAGCATGTTAACCTAATGCAGCAATTAACATGCTAGCCTGGTACAACACGCTAGATTGATTGGTAGAACAACAAGCGTGCCTGATACATACAACAAGCCAACCTGGTACAACATGCTAGCCTAGTGTTCCCGCAGGAGGCCAGGTGTCGCATAGGTCGGTATGGCAGTGCCACCTAACCGTACGTGATCGGCTGACGATGACTGTGTTCTCTAGCCCACGCCCCCGATGGAGTCGGGGATCCGACTCGGGGTTGTCATCGCGTTCATTAATAAATGATAATGATTCGGATGGGTTGTCGTTGATAATCCGGTTAATAATTTCCGTGAAAGAAAGAGAGCGCACGCAGAAACACTTATACTGGCAGCTAAATTAATTAGATCGTGTTTTTGTGTGCGTGCGTCTGTGCATTCGTGTATGGCAGGCGAGGTGGGACACAAGTGGTATTTAGTGACAGTCAATAAATCATTTAGTGTCTATCATTAAATCATTTAGTGTTTGTCAATAATTCCATGCCTATGATTGGCTGAGAAAAAATAAGTTGTATCTGATTGGTTGATTTAATGACTGTCACTAAACGGAATATATGATAGTCACTAAATAGAATATATAATAGACATTAATTCGAATTGCGAAGGACACTAAGGAGAGTCAGCGCCGGACAGC